GTGTGCCTGGGGAGTGCTGGTGTACCTGGGATTGTCAGAGGTGTACCTGGGGTTGTCAGAGGTGTACCTGGGAGTGTCTGAGGTGTTTTCTGGGGTGTCAGGGGTGTACCTGGGAGTGTCTGGGGCGTACCTGGGAGTGTCTGGGGTGTACCTGGGAGTGTCTGAGGTGTACGTGGGAGTGTCTGAGGTGTACCTGGGAGTGTCAGGGGTGTACCTGGGAATATGAGAGGTGTACCTGGGAGTGTCTGGGGTGTATCTGGGAGTGTCTGAGGTGTACCTGGGAGTGTCAGAGGAGTACCTGGGAGTGTCAGAGATGTATCTGGGAGTGTCTGGGGTGTACCTGGGAGTGTCAGAGGTGTACCTGGGAGTGTCAGGGGTGTACCTGGCAGTGTTAGGGGTGTACCGGTGTAATGGTCATGATAAGAGCTAACCTGAAAACCTTAAGGATTCATATTACGCTCAAACGTCCACAAAACCTTCCGAGTCCCCCAGTGGAAACGTCCCCCGTTTTCTCTGTTTCCCCCGCCTTTGTCTATGGGAGCAGACGCTGTGTGCTGGGACCTGTTGCCATCCATTCCTTTGTAATCAATTTAATTCTGCTTTCGATAGCTGAGTCAGAGCATTGTTAGTGAAGATAATAGTAGAGAATGAAAATGAGTTCATAGTCTCAATTTCAACGTCAGAGGGTACCGTAAATTAATTCATTGGAATAGGAGTAGCTGGACTCCCTGGTCTGGTTTGAGTGAGGGCACGCGGGCATTTTAACCGTTAGTAAGTGCCCGTCCCTTCATCCATACAGGTATGCCATTCCACGCTGTGTTGTAATTTGCCCTTCTTTAAGTGATTTGACCCAATTGATAGTTGATTGTGCAAGTGTTACAGTAACGTAGTTGATATGCTCTGAGTAAAGTCATATTTACGTCTTTAACGTCCCCTGAAACGTGTTGTTGTTGTCACCGGTTAGTAAGTGCCCGTCCCTTCATCCATACAGGTCCCTAACGCAGCCTAGGCCGTGTCTGTAGGGTGGATGTTGTATCCACTATGTCTGGGGACATGTCCGAGGTCCAGTAGGATCAGTTACCTTCGTGAGACCCGGCCGTCAGACACTTCAGACCACCTATAGCCCCCATAGCTGGCTCGTCTGGCCCTAACGCTCGGTCCACGAGGTGACCCTGGACCACCAAGCCACACACCACTACCAGCCCCCATCATTGGTGGATGAATGTCTACCTCAGTAGGGCTATATTTGTGTGGTGGAATTAACCCACTGGGATCTCCAGAGTTCGTCAGATAGTACTCCATGGTGGCTGGACCCCATGGCTGTTGCTTGAGTAACACACCTGACGACTGAGTGTTGTAGTGGCAGTTGCCCTAGTATGTATGGTGCTAAGTGACTATCATAGTTGTGCTATTGAGTATGTCCACCCAGTAGGGTTGGAAGGGTATTGAATATGTCCACCCAGTAATGGTGTGAGTATGTTGAGCCTGAGGGCCTAGTAATAGATTTCGTCTGTTAGTACAAACCAATTCTTTCTTCTAATTTCATATTCATGTTTAAATAAACTTTGTATTTGTATAATTGTGTATATTATTTACCTACAGTATTTACCGTTATTTCTTCCCTATTGCTTGATACTATCATTACACCTACCCACGAGCCTCCTATCGTCACGCTACCAATGGTGATATATAAGAGTAAAAGGAAGTGTTACTGGTACACAGGCCCTCATGAAGGGTGGCAGTAGCAGCCCTCATAAATGGTGGCAGCTCAAGCCCTCATAAATGGTGGCAGCTGGTGAAATGAACATAGTATCGAGTTGGGAGGAATGACTGTGATACTGTAGTTTTTAACTGAGTTATAACCATTTCTCTGTACGGGTATTTAATAACCATTCCACTGTAACTAATGAGTATTTCAGATTGCTAATGATTTTGTTCCATATTTTTCCGAGGTACAGCTTTTTGTGGTGGTTTGCAGAGAGAGTGAAATAAGTTCAAAGAAATACCTTGGAGTTAGGTTAGAAAAAGTCTTGTTTAAAGTAAAAGGAAACCTGCAACAATAACTTGTAGAGTGTGAATAAGGTTCATTAATATTGGAAGAATTTTGATATGTAACAATCTGCCCAAATTTTTTTTCTGTTGTTAACTCAGTATTACTTACAGACAGTGAATACATGTTTGGGCCGTGGCACTAGTTGTGAAATGTTTCCATCGTGGGAGTGCCCAGTGTTTTAATTCTGAGTGCTAACAGAAGCATTGCACTATATGCAAAGGTTAAGTGGATGCTAATTCTGTACTTGTCATATTCTTTAGTTATGTGTTAGGTAGGATATATATTCCATTTACTTAATATCTCGGGGCATTTTACAGTTCCTACTATTAATATTCCTATGTATACGCTATAATTTTAAAGTTATTTTAACCAGGTGCTAACGGGTCATTATTTTGTGTAACGTATGTTATGTGAACTCTAATGCCAGTATACTTTCAGAATACAGTATTATATATGTGAGGACCTTATGGTGATACGGTATATGGAAAATGTTATACAAGTGTATGGACCCAGAATTGTGAGTACGGAAATTCGTGAAGTGTTCACGCAGTGTTGCACCATACTGAGTCTGTGAATGGCAAAGTGTCTAAGTGAATTTTGATGCCATAATATTATCTTTGGGGAGATTAATAATCTGAACAGTAGTTTGAATAGTTGATGCATGGAGTGTTAGTCGTATTGCAGAAAATCAGTACCAGTCCTTGGGTCTTGAGTGAGCCCTGTGCATGTATCGTATTTAAAGTGGGTTATAGTATTGATTTGTTGTAACACAATGGCAGATGCTAACGCAAATAAGGGGACCATGACGGCCAAAGCCGCTGTTGATTTAGCAACAGAAGTCCAAGCTCTTCGGGCTAAACTCGCTGAGTCTATGGATACGATAAGGAGACAACAAGCTTTGCTTGATGAACGGAGGGAAGAACCGGCTGTACCTACTCGTCCTGCCGTGGTTCCACTTTTGCCCCCCCCTGCCATGGTTCCACTTGTACCTCCTCCTGCCGTGGTTCCACTTGTACCCCCTCCTGCCGTGGTTCCACTTTTGCCCCCTACTAACGATATACCCAGCCGACCTCCTGGTCCCCATTACCACCAATACGTTCCGAGGCTGTCCTTGGACGACCTCGTTGGTCTTAACACAGACAACATCTTAACTAAATTCTGTAAGAGAGTAGAATATTGCGCAGTTAGCTCACGGGATAGATGGTATGTAGCTACCGACCGCATGGACCAGCAGATTGAAGACATGGTCCAAGTAGAACTCGGCACCGATGAGGAAAATTGGGATAAACTTAAAGCCACCTTGCGGAAGTTGTTTGTGAAACCAATCCCTCTGGAAGTTGCCTGGCAGGAATTTGCGAGGTTAGAGTACAATTTGGAAGATGATCCCCGGCGCTTTTTGGGCCAAGTTAAATCAGTTCTCACAACCATTTTCCGCCGGTATGGGCCCAGGGAAGGTGAAGAACAAACTTTGAAAGATAAATTGTACCAGAAACTGCCAGAACAGTTGAAAGAGGAGTTGATATCCTATTATTCCCCTTGTTGTCCAGTAGACACGATGGCCGAACAATTGGAGAAACTCCGACATATCTATCTGCGAAGTAACAGAACTGGGTATCCTGGTATCCGCCCAGTTCACAAGCATGCGACCCAAGAACTTCCCATAAGTGAAAGAGCCAGTCGGGCCGAAGGTAACGTAACAGGAGGAGCTTGGGGTACCAGTAGTAAGCGAGATCAACACGCGGTAGCCTTATTTGAAAGTCCTCGTAAAAGGTTAGTTGGAAAGCGACAGGGACCTTACTGTCCATATTGCCGAACACCGAATCATGATACTTCTACTTGCCCCTTAAATCCACCCCCACGTTCATGTTGGGATTGCTTGGAAGTAGGATGTCGGAGAAACAGTCAACGCTGCCCTGGACGCGCCAACCGTCGGCACTATCCAAAATATTGACATAAGCGGGTTCCTTCCAATGTGTCTCCTTGCATTTGGTTTACTGTAAATGAACGTGTCTGTCTTGCTTTAATAGATACAGGTAGTGAAGCCACCTTAATTCAGGAGAGCCTAGTAAAAACTTTGAATTTGCAACCCATCAAACCTTGTAAAGATAGATACCAGGGTGTTGCGGGAGATGAGCTAAAAATTAAAGGTAAAGTAGTCATAACAGTACAAGTAACCCCCCAGTTGCAAGTCAGACACCATGCTATTGTGGTGGATGATAAGTACTTTAATGCAGAATTGCTATTCGGAGCAGATCTCCTTGGTAGATTTAGAGTAACCTGGGAACGTAAAAGGAAACTTTTCATTTGGGCAGGCCAGTCACATGAATATGGGAAAGTAGTAATGAGAGATCACATGCAAGGAATCAAATGCGTCAATAGATTGTCATTAAAGCCCGATGTACCTTGTCCACCACAGTTGAAGAGTCTCCATATTGATGGGAAGACTATTGTACGAGGCCACCATGCACCGATCTTATCCATCAAGGTGAAAGTAGAGATAGGTCAAATTCTGAGCATACGATTCACGCATAAAAGTTTCAACCAACAACCAGAGATATGTGTTAGAGTACAGCCAGATTCACGTATATATTTGCCAGTAAGTAATTGTACCGATAAATCAGTGTATTTGAGAGTTGGCACTGTCATTGGCGAATATGAGTTAATCCCAGAGGAGATAATCTCGTATGTTGACACTAAGGGAAATCACTTGGGACATATTCAACAGGTCTATGACAAATTGTGTAAAGTAAAGTCTTCAACTGAATTCTCCCTTTGTGCACCGCATCACCTAGCCATTCAAACAGAAGGGGAGAGGAGATCGTCAAACCAAGTAAAAGTAAATGTAGGTGCTGATCAGAGAGTACCCTCCTCTGACTGTGTAATTTGTGCCGGAATTCCCAACGGTACAGTAAAGAAGGTAAGACATGTCCAAGAGATTTCCAACAGTATGATACCGGAATGTGACGAAGTAAAAGGCGGAACCACTAGACAAGAGAAGTTGAATGAGTTAATTAGAAACCAACCGTGGAACCATCTAGACCGAGAAATGCGTAAACGTTTGCGGAAAGTAATTCTAGCTCATGATTCCTTATTTGTTTTAGGACCACATGAAATTGGGTCAATTGCTGGTATACCCGCTAACATTCAGCTCGCCAACCACAATCCTGTCCGAGGACCACAGTATAGACACCCAGAGAAAGCAAAAGAAATAATTAAAGAAATGATAACAGATATGAGGGATCGTAATATCATTGAACCATCGACTGCCGCCTGGTTATCCCCCATTGTTCTGGTAACAAAACCCAACGGTTCAAAGCGTATGTGCTTAGATTTTCGAGCGGTCAATAAGCATTTGAAGGTCGACATACAACCCTTGCCACGAATTGACGAATTAGTAGAGAAAGCTGCAGGAAATAAATATTATGCCACATTAGATTTGAAGGATGCATATTATCAGGTCATCCTTAACGACAGCAGCCGAGATCTAACAACTTTTAGCGATGGGTACAATCTATGGAGGTTCACACGCCTTCCGTTTGGGCTCTCAGCTAGTCCTGCCGTTTTCACGCGAGAAGTAAACCGAGTATTAGCTCCATTAGCAGTTGAAGACTGGGTACGAAACTATCTTGATGATGTAATAGTATGGGCTCCTGACTTCCCCCCCACCTTGTTGCAGAGACTCACCAGAGTATTTGAGAGATTTGAAGAGATGGGTATTAAACTAAACTTGTCTAAATGTCAATTTGGCCATAAGCAAGTTAAATTCTTAGGACATGTAGTTTCAGAGAGAGGCATTGAGCCTGACCCAGAAAATGTCCAGGCTTTGACTGATTGTAAACCCCCAACTAATGTTAAACAAGTCCGCCAATTTTTGGGTATGTGTGGATTTTACCGTAAACATGTTCCCGAGTTTGCCAAAGTAGCTTACCCCCTCACTGAATTAACGAAACAGACTGTTGATTTTGCATGGTCAAATGAGTGTCAAGACGCATTTCAGAAGTTAAAGCAAGCACTAGCTTCATACCCAGTTCTTGTCAAGGCCGATATTTATAAACCCTTCGAACTGCATAGTGATGCCAGCAATTTCTGCGTAGGCGCTTCCCTTAATCAGATACAAGAAGATGGCTCTTTACGACCAGTGGGTTATTTTCTAGAAAGTTAAAGCCGGCGGAAACTCGTTATTCCACCACCGATAAAGAAGCGTTAGGCATTGTATTAGCGTGCAGGTTCTTCCATCATTTTCTTTGGGGTACGCAGTTTACAATTAAGACAGATCACCAACCTCTAACCTCCGTCTTTAGAAAGAAAACCAAAAGTCAGCGAATGAACCGTTGGATCTTAGAAATGAGAGATTACGCTTATAACATTGAATATAAACCCGGTAGAGCTAATGTAGTGGCTGATGCATTAAGTCGACCAGTCAGAACCTTGAGAAAAGTCATGCACGACCATGTTGCCGCTCAATTTCCCACACTAGAAGGTTTCACACAGGCAGACTTTGGTAAAGAACAACAAAAAGAACCCAGGTGGCAAGAGTTAAAACGGTATTTAGCAGGAGGTAACATTCCGCAACATAAGTACCCAAAGGCCACCGTTGATAGCTTTGAAGTAATAAATGGAGTATTGTACCTAGTAAAAGAACAACTCGATAAAGCATTGAAGTATTGTCTCGTAATCCCGCAACATTTACGTAAAGCCGCATTAGAGTTGGCGCATGACAATGCCACCTCAGGTCATTTAGGACGGTGGAAGACCATCACCCGAGTAGCTAATTTGTTTTATTGGCCTAACTATCGTAAAGATTGTGTTGATTATGTAGCATCATGCGAGACGTGTCAAAGGTTCAAGGGAACTAAAGGACTTACGCAACGTTGGCAAGAATTACCAGTCGTAAGCAAACCACTAGAACGAATTTCGGTGGATTTGACTGACATGCATTCCGGGATCAATGATTACCGATATGTGTTAACGATCATAGATCATTACTCAAGGTTCGTTAACTTCTATCCATTGCGCACGAAGACAACGCAAGAAGTTACCCGTGAATTTGAAAAGTTTGTTAATGTCTTCGGTAGTCCTAAAGTAGTGATTGCGGATAATGGAGGAGAATTTACTGCGGCACAATTCAGGGAGCTCTGTCAATTAACTAACATTCAAGTGTATTTTACCTTGCCTTACCACCCCCGAGGTAACAGTATCAC